CAATGATTGGTTCTGAGCTTTTCTTTACACCTCAACCAATAATCATCATTTTTGAGCAAAAAAAGAAAATCACACATAAAATAATGATTTATGATAACTATAAGCCTATGATTTTTTCAAATATGCTCTCTTTTCAGAGAGTAATTATTTTAGAAATCACTTGGAGGAATCAGAATGCTTTTTACACATGTGAAATTAATTTTTGTATAGCAGTTACAATTAGTTTTCATCCCAAAACATTAAGGAATAATCAATTAATAATTTTTCCTTTCTCTAAAATTTTGCAATATTTTGGAATGGGTCAGTTGAAATTTTACTACAACTTTAACCAACGTTAAACCAAAATTTTTAATATATTTTCTAAAATTAGTATGTGTTTTAATATATATATTACTCAACTATTACATGAGCGAAGTGATCTTAATCTGATTTTTTTATGATTTCTCTAATTACAACCATAAAAACATAATTTAGTTAATTACAAATATTAAAATAATTAACAATAAATCATTACAAATTTAATTTTTAATATATTTTCTTACTTTTGTTTGTGTTTTTTTGACTCAAAGTTGATAGTAGTCGTTTCGACTGCCAAAACCCGTAAAGGGGGTCTTAATAAACATTCTCATACTTGGTTCTGTAAATTCTTTTTATTGGAATTTAAAACAAAAATCGAAAACCTATGTTTTTAAATCTACTTGCCTATATACCGGCATGTTAATGCTTTCCAATGCACAAATTTATATTTAATTCCCACTTACTATACTTGTTTATTTAACAAATTTTATACACCTTTTAACTTCACTTAAAACCTTAATATATCCGTTAGGCGCGAACTCAACCGTTTTCTAAATAATGGCTAAACTTATATCTCATGTTTAAAAGCCGGTTTCGAATGAGTTTCCATTTGCATTTATTTTTTAAGTGTAGTTATGCGAACAGTTGCGTGTGCGTGTTATGCCCCATAAATGCAGCAACAGCAGCAGCAGCAACAACAACAATAACAGCAAGACCAACACAAACTTGTAGATTTGCATAATAAAGCGAAGAGAAGGCAGCGGCCAGACCCAGTATCAGTCTCAGTCTCAGTCCCAGAGTCAGAGTCAGTGTCGGAGTCTGAGCCAGTAACAGATTCGAACCGTGGCAGCAGCAACGACCGCTGCGAGTGTCATAAATTTCTTGGCTGATATCTATTAACGCTTTTACTGGTGTTACTAGATTAACACGCCAGAGCAACATCCAATGGCCACAAGGGCCCAGACAACATGGAACCAGCGACAACGACAATCCTCAGTCCCTCAGCCCACAATCCGTTGTCCCCAAGTTAATTTCTCACTTAAACATTTTGTCTGTTTTGATGGACAATTTGTTAGAGATTTGTGAGAGTGCGTGTGTGTTTTTATTTGTTGCCGTTGTTGTTGTTGTTGCTGTTGTTTGTTATTTGTTGTTGGCTGTGGGACCACTTCAAAACCAAAGCTTAACAGTTACAACTTAAAATCCATTTCCGTTAGACTTGGCAGCCCACAATGGATGCATGGAAGCCAGTCTCCACCTCCATCAGTGAGTGCCACTGCCCGCCCATTCACAGCAAATAAAAATATCTCGACTGCAATTTGCACGCAGCTGGTGGTGCAACTGTCCCGCTGCCGTCTGGCGACTGGCGACTGGCGACTGGCAACTGGCGGCTGGTGGTGCCAGCGGTGCCGGTGGTACCTGTGGTGTCCCAACATCAGCTTCAGCTTCAGTTTTGGTTTTGGCCAACAGTTGGCGATCGCGCACAGACTTGACAACGCAAAAATTTGTTTGCACTCCATAAGGATTACAAATATGCGTGTCCCTGACACAGGTGCCCCCTTTTCGTTCCTTAAATAAAAATAAAATAAATTTCATGCTTAATACGCATGCCTGGCCAATTTTTACTTTAACACCAAGGGGTAATGCCCGGAAGCAGAGCAGATGTCGTGTGTTAAGTAGCAACTGAGCTGAGAGTTATGGTTGGGAATCTAAAGAGTGAACTCGAATTCGAAAGGGCTGCATTAACAATGAGGGTTGGCAAGCACTGCAGCTAATCCAAATCTGCAAAGCATGCAGAAACCAATTCTCAAAATGCATATTCTTTTTACACAATTAAAGCAAATACTTCAATCATTTACAGTAAGCTACAATTTTGGAAACAAAATTTCCAAGTTTATATTACCTGGAAACGAGAAATATGATTTTTTAAGCTAAGCCTATGCTTGTTTTATCAATTAAAAAAAATTTATTTCTATGTGATGCATATTTATGAACTCTTAATCTTCAGTTCATAAGCTTGTTAAGAACTTAATCCAATAATGTATTAAAGACTTTGTCACTTTTGTAGCTTTAGGTGATGCAAATTATTATTTGATTTTTATTAATAGACTTAGTAATTTAAATTTGAATACATATTTACATGATTGATGTATGCTGCTCATAGCTATCGTTGTATATACCCCTTAAGCTGTCCAAGATACACGAATGAAGCTGCGCTGTTTAATGCTTATTTAGTTTTTCTTGGATTGTGCTAGCTTTTAGAAAATATTACTGAGGTGTTCAGAAAAAGGTTAGAGCGGCAAAGCATTGCATTATTTAAAACATTCTCTTGATCAGTCTCTGTATGCTAAATATTGTGGCTCTAGCTGTTATACTTTTAGAAATCTTTGCGTTCATACAGACAAACAGGAAAACAAACGTTCAATCGACTATTGTTTGTGTTGTCATAGTTTTCAAAAAAACCGCCAGGTCTTGCATACAGCTAGAGGATAAAAAAATTAATTGCAGATTCGACCAGGCGTCCATTTACTGGGTATTATTAATTTCTTAAGAGTTTTATAAATTTTTATCAAGTATTATCAAAATCAACAGATGTCGTTATATGTATTAGTAGTCCTCAATGCAATACATCTTATTTTTATATTATTCAAATGAACATTGCATTTCCTTTCAATATTGCAATTAGGACTACAAAACACAGCAATGAACGTATTATTTTAGCTTAATGATGCATGCCTTCATATAATACCCAAACCAAAAGGAGTAATAACATGGGCGTCTCTGCTCTAATCGCTTCTGAAATGTACACCGCTGACCATTCTGCTTTCCATTTATGCAAATAAACCCCTGCAAATGACATATTGACCCAACATAATAGCTGTCATCATCAACGTATGTTTTAGGTACATATGTTTTCCTTGTCTTCGGGTTTTTCAACACACCTCATACCCAGACCCAGAGCCGGACCCAGTCCCATCTCAATTGTGGTGCCCGGGAATCGAAGCAGTATCGTCACCGCACCATTAAACAAATTGAAAGCGTTTAGCTGCCAGACCAAACCTTCTTCTTTTGGGCATTGACCAGCTGAAAACCCTTTGGCAAACATGCATACAAAAGTATTAGAAAGAAGTGTGTATTTAACACATTTATGCGAAAGGCAGCCAACCCGCACAAAACGTGCGCCAAGCCAAGTGGACCACATAAATCCCGATTATAATGCACGCACACATGAAAATTGAAACCTATCCAATGGGGCGCTGATTTTAAGGCGAACTGCTGCTGACCGTGTCCAGAATGGGAAGCTGGGTGTAAAAAAAAGAAATGGATTTGAAGTGCTTCATCGCATAATGAACAGGACGTCGGCGTCGTGTGCAGCCCCTTTTAAGGGTTGACATTTGCCCGCAGACAAAGAGCTCTGAAAAGGTTTCCGAGTTCAAGTAGAATTTGCAGTTGAGTTGGCGAACGCCAGCGCAAGTGCCACTGAGTCGAGCCATTGTTTCCCTGCCTTGGGTTAGTGGGGGAATGAGGCGCAGACGACACACTTTTAAAAGCCAAAAACAATTAGTTAATTGATTAACAAACAGTTGACCGAGAGTTGAAACCCACACCTCTGCCAGGTCTCCCAGATTTCCTAAGGCTTACTAAGGTCCGTAAAATGTTTATACACATAGCTAGATTCTAATATTATTATATAATTATTCACCCAATTCGGTAGATACAGTTTTTGAAAAGTTTTTTGACGATGCTACCAAGTAGGAAGAATATTCCAATTGTACGTCCGTTAAATTTTTGTTATTGTTGGATTGTTCACAGATTTGCAATTCACTTTAATGTCCACTTTTTGGTCTAGTTTAACAAAAATCATCAACAAGTTTGAAGGCACTTTCTCGCTCATTTCATTAAAATATTTCCAAAAAATTAATGTCCAAGTTACCATCGAATAGTTTACTTATTTCCTCATCTCGCTCTCTCTCTCGCTCTCTCTCTCTCACCTCTTCTAATACTCTGCCTGTTTTTTAATTTGCAGCTCAACTACAACACTTCAAGTAACCACACCAGCTACCAGGCAATCCCCACACACACCTCTGCGGCAGCAGCAGCAGCAGCAACAGGAGCAGGAGCAGGAGAAGGAGCAGCAGCGGCCACCTGCCCACATCTCTGCAGCTTTATCCACAAAATGATGGAACGTCTATCCACGCATCTCTCACTCTCTGGCTTATCGCTTGCACATCCATTGCAGACTCATCTGAGCTCAGTCAGCTCCACCAGCGGCGCGCATTTGGGCCAATTGGCGGCGGTAGTGCAACAGCATCATCAGCAACAGCAGCAGCAGCAACAGCATCATCATCACCACAGCAGCGAGCAGAGTCACGCTCATCATTCGCTGCACAGCCAGCAATTGTCGTTGGGTCAGCTTGCCCAGCACCATCAGTGCAGCAGCAGCAGCAGCGGCGGTTCTCCAACTGGACACCCGCACGCCGCACTGCACCACACGGCGCACCACTTGAGCTCGCAACACGCACAGCTGCATCAGGCGGCGGTTAGTTCGGCGCATCATCATCAGGCAGCGGCACAGCAGCAACAACAACAACAGCCTGCACATCATAGTCAACAGCCCACACACCACAGTCAGCCGCCAGCGGCACAATCGCTGCATCCGGCGCACAGCGGCAACAGCAGCCACACACACCTGTCAGCGCACACCACGGCCAACAGCAACAACAACAGCCACAGCCTAGCCGGTGCGAGCTCCATTTTCACGGCCTCCGGCAGCAGCAATTCCGGCGCTCCCCCGCACACCTCCAGCAGCAGCACATCGAGCAGCGTCATGGCGGCAGCGGCAGCAGCCCATTTGCATCACAACTCCCAGGCATCGCCCATCAGCAATCTGCATCAGAATATGGGCAGCCTAATGAACAGTGGCAGCAGTGCCAGGTGAGTGCCACCTTCCCTGACCTCCCAAGGGACTCCCAGTTTAATGTTCACCGTCTCCACCATCTCTACTATCTCCCAACAGCGACGTCTTCTTTAGTCTAATGATTCAGAATACAACGAAGCGCCAAAATGAGGAGCACATAAAACGTCCAATGAACGCGTTCATGGTGTGGTCACGTCTTCAGCGACGCAAGATCGCCCGGGATAATCCAAAAATGCACAATTCGGAGATATCGAAGAGGCTGGGTAAGTGAGCAAATGAATTTTAATACCGGGAATCTTTGAAACATATCTGGTGGATCTGAATCGGGATTTCTTAGTTAGAGAAAAATGTGCGCTCCTTCACCCACTTGCAGTTATTTAATAATAAAACAAGATGTTGGTCAGAAATTAAACTAAAATTGACTCCCAGTAGAGCTATATGATCTGTATAAGATTTATAAGCTTTGAAGAGATCGATTGAAGAGATGATGGTCCAGTTTTTAAACTAAATCAAACGATTTACATTCAAAGTGAAAAAATTTGAATAGAATGAAAGTCGGCTAAATGATGATTACTTCACAGATTCAAAGGATAGTTAGGATAGGTAATAGCTTAAAAGATTCTAGTATGTTTCCAATTCCACACAAACAGTATTCACAATTAAATTCGACTAGATTAGGGAAGAAAAAGGAAAATAGCCTTGCGTTTATTCGTTCTGATGTGACAGCTGATCTACTCTTTATAAATATCAAAGTTTACAAATCTTTATATAGTATCTGAACATTGCTTTCTATTCTCAATTTATACCGAGTAGACAAAACATTGACATTTTCTGTTCTAAAAAACTTGTGTTCAGTGAAAGTACATTTTATTTTTTCATTGTTTCTTTGGACATACTTATTTATTGACCTCAGGTATTTAGCTTTGTCTGGTATTTACTATTCAGCTCATTTCATAAACCGAGAGGTAAAATGCTTAAGTAAGCTTAAACTATTGCTGTGCATACAAGTATAAACGAGTGAACATCATTTGAAAGAGCGGAAAGCACTACCAAGGGCTTAGATTGGGAATTATAGTAAAAGGCTGAAATGAATAAATAAAAAGTACGACTATACTTGTGATTGATCTGCATTTATCATTTTCAATTTATTTATTTTATATTATGTCGACAAGCAAATAGTGGACTGTCGATATAAGTAAAACAACATAAAAGTTATAAAAAAATCCTTATGTTAGGAAAGCCTATGCTGGAAAAATCTAATCAAATTCGATTCGATGAGGAGTTCATTAAGTGGTGTAAATATATCTAAAAAATGTTACAAAATACAATTTCCAAATAAAAGGAAAAACTTATCGAAGAAAGCAAACCTGAATAAATGGGACTTCAAACATATGCTATATAATTACTCAAAAGATAGGACCTCTATAATATCTGAATCAAAATTGTATTGTCAGAAGAAATAGTTTGTAGATTGTGGTTTTAAATAGTTATAGTGCAGACCCATGTTGGAACTAGTTGGCTGAATTGATCCCCAAGTGCCACTTTAAATTTGCTTCTGGTCCAATTAACTTGCATTTTATATGCATGCCAGATTCACAGAAAATTCTTGTAACTGACAAAATGGGAAAAGAAAACACTCATCACAAAGCTGAGCAGATAAAACTTTTGTTATGAATAACTTGGACTGAAAAACAAAGCCGCAAAACAAAACCGTATTGAAATGCGGCACACGACCTGCCAATCTGGGAATTTTCTTCTCTCACCAGCACCATCACCCGCAACTGACGATGCCGACGCCACCGCACACCCGATAAACGCCCACTTATGCAACTTAAACTAATCAACGTAAAGCCGTCTCCCTCCTCTCTGGGCTGGAAAGCACAATAACAGTGACAATGACAAACCAAAAATGCGTCAGCATACTCAACGAACTGTCAAAACTGACAAGCGGCTGTCAAACAATAGCAGAGGCAGTAACGGAAGCTGCTGATTGCTGGTGAGAAGGGTTGGGATTGGGCCAAGAGCCAGCTAGCAGCAACCAGCAAGCAAACCAGTCAGCCAACAAACCACCCACCAGTGTCAGTGCAACTTGCCAAATCACGTTGTCTGCGCCACCCAAGCGCCCTTTTGTCTCGCCATTTAACTAGTTGCAAAGTTAAGTAGTTTATTTCTGGGGCGACTGCGGCATCGGCTAATCCCACGCACAAACACAGGGCTTATCGGAGTCGCCCGGAGCTGTCTGATCGGGCGGGCGAACGGGCGAACAGGCGTCGTTCAATTCAAATTCGTATCAAATTCAATTTCAATCACACACGCAACTTGGCCCGAGCACGTGGCAAGTGACAGACAGACAGACAAAATCTTTAGCATAACAATAGGCGCGCTACCTTGGCTGCTCATGCAATATGCATGATGATGAAGCCGAAACTTAATGCCGTTGATGGGTAGCAGCACGTCTTAAGTAAGAAAAGACACCGAAAAATGCTGTCATAACAACGATAATAAAGCAAGGAAATCACATCGAAGGCAAAGTCTGAAATTTATTTCAAACTGATGGCGTGCGGTTCTAGGGATGTACTATTCTACACACTAAATACAAACCAAATTAAATGATTGTAAATGATTTTAACAAATGTTTACCAACATAACAAACCACAATATATTCCCAAAAATATAGAAGTGGTGCTTTTTGAAATTAATAACAAACTAAATGATCAGAGCACATTATGAAATTTGGCAGAAGTTTCATTTCACAGTATAAGCGAGCACTAAGTTTTGGAAAATTTGAAATCCTCAAGAAAAGCGAGTCACAAATAAATTAAAAAGAAAATCAACCTCAAAAAATTGTGAAATGTAAGAATTGAACTAGTTTGAACAGAAAACCGAAAGGTTACAGAACTCCAATTATTGTGTGGTAATCAAGGCAGGCCAGATAAAGAAATGGGCAGAAAGCCATTTGCGCAATTTTTTAATGAAAACACAGACCTGGGTGCGAGGCTTCGCCCAGCACTCGACAAAAAATTGACTTTAAAAAACAAAACAAAACGAATGAAGTAGCTAAAGTCGGGTGTGTCGACTATGAAATACTCTGAACATACATATGTGTAGAATAATTAAAGAATTTAAAACAAGAGAGAACGCTACAGTCGAGCAAGCCCGACAGTGTAATACCCTGTACCCAGGTAAACTTCCGTCACTGAGTTATATGCGCCCATAGCAGCAGCAAAAAGAGGAAGAAGAACGAACTTATTGCTGCAGTTTGGGGGGGTTATACTGTAGAGAACTTGTTTTGTTGTTTTGTTTATTTAGAATTGACCGAATTGAATAAAATTTTATACAACAGTAGACAATTATATATTAATTATGTGTGCAAAGTTTGGTTTAGGTAGCATTTGAAATGTGGACGCTATTGACGAAATTCTGTAGCGGGGGAAGGGGGGGAAAATTCCAAAAAATAAAATAAACTCGTCCTTACTCGGACCTAGGAGAATCTGGATGCCAACTTTGGTTATTCTAGCTTTTATAGTTTCTGAGATCCTCGCGTTCATCCAGACGGACGGACAGACGGACGGACAGACGGACAGACGGACAGACGGACGGACAGACGGACGGACATGTCTAGATCGATTTCTCTCGTCATGCTGATCAAGGGTATATACAGGGTATAAAAATTAAGAAAATTTTAACAAAAAGCGCACATTTATATGATTGAGTGTCTATGAGCGTCTATGGGTGTGTATTTGTACAGTGCAGAGAGAGCTGGTGGCGAAGTATTGGCAGATATTGCATTTATGACTATAACTATTAATCGCAATTTTTTATAGCCTGTACCCAAAGGGTGAAAGGCTATACTAGTTTTGTGCGCATGTATGTAACACACAGAAGGAGGCGTGGCAGACCCCACAAAGTATATATATTCTTGATCAGGATGAGAAGCCGAGTCGATATAGCCTTGTCTGTCCGTCTGTCTGTCCGTCTGTCCGTCTGTCCGTATGAACGCAAGGATCTCAGAAAGTATAAGAGCTAGAATAACCAAACTTGGTTTCCATATTCTCCTAAGACCGAGAAAGTACGAGTTTGAGTTTTTTTTCGATGCACCCCCCCACTCCCCCGCAATTCGTATTTTTTCTTATAACTTCCGTAATTCTCGGAATTTAAAAATCAATTTTGGTAGGTACATCCAGTTAGTACTAATGTGTCCGTGTGCCAAATTTCATCATGATAGGTCAATTCTGAAGAAAGTTATAGCCATAAGTAAAATCGCTGCTCATGCGCTGCCTCTGTCGGCAGCGCTGCCCGCAGCTGTTGTTGTTGCTGCTTTGGTTCAACTTTGTGCTGCATACATACACGCATATAAACACGCATAGGTACGTGATGTAAATGTATGCTGTTAAAACTAAACATAAACATATATTCTAATTTAATTTAATTAATTAATTCATTAATTTTTTTTAATAATTTAATTTTTTTTTTAAATTTTTTTTCTTTTTTGTGGAGAGTACAGGCTATTTTACTGTCGGGCTTGCTCGACTGTAGCGTTCTATCTTGTTTAATTCTGCAAAATACAGACAAAAGGAATCGCTTCGACTTGCAAATTATTTAATAAGTATAATTGTGTCTTCCATGCTTATCTCTTCATTTTTTAAGAGCATTTGTACGCTCTCTTGCTTTTCTCATTGATCTAACTGCGCTCTCTTGGTCCTTTGCGACAAGTTGGGGCGCTCGACCATTCCACCCACACTCCAACTTGTTGGTATGTCTTCATACAACCGACCCAACACACAAATGTAGGACAGTTAGCAATCTGTTATACAACACATTCGGCATGTTCTGTAAATTGAGTTTTTTCTTTCTTTTTTTGTGCTTCTGTTATGTTATGGTGACATTTTGTCTGCTAACATAATACATGCATACACAAATATCATTAATATAAATCGCTGCGTACTTACATTTACATACAGATTAATTGCGATCGCTTTAATTAAAAATTATTTTCAAATTGAACACTTTTACTTATTTAATTCACATTTACAAGCACTTAAAAAAATAAAAACAAAAATTGAGGCTTTGCACAATTTATTTGAAGTCACGAACACACACATACACAGTCACATAAGTATGTATGTATGTAACGCAGCAGATTAATCGCGCGGCATTTTCGCATTAATAGACACATATTAAGAACACTTTACACACAACTTAATACAAGTATGTACATATGTACAAGTATGTATCCTTTTACATACTTTTCTTATTATTAAAA